CAGCAGGAGGCCCATGTCACCCCTGTCTGCTCGTGGACTCTTTGGGAAGTAGGGTCAGCTCCTCTCGCTGCCCTTTCCCTCCTCTGCAAGGAACAGGACTAGGGGAGCTCTGGCTTTGGCCTCATCCCTGTGTCTTGGGGCAAGGTTTCTCAAGCCCTCCTTTGCAGCTCCCCCTGCTTCCATCTCCTGGCGGCTGCTGTTGCCTTTTTGTCCTGGAGCTGGCTCAGGTCAGACCAGCAGCCTCCTGAGAGAAAGGTTTCTTCTTGTGGGGACTTGGGGAGATCCCTCTTGTGCCTGGAGCAGGCTGTGCTGTGAGGCCTGTCAGATTTCCTGAGCTCCTTCCCCTTCAGAGCTGCTGCCAGAGGCACCACCTGGAGCAGTCCCCAAGTCTGTCCAAGGCTTCTGCCCTGGAGTCCACCTCTCTGGGCTCCACTGAGGGCCCTCCTGACTCCTCTTTGGCACCTGGGACCCCACTGCTTCCTGGGCACAGACAGCCAAGGATGATACCAAGGGTCCCATCCTGACCAGCTCTTCCTTGCTGTCCAGGCCCAGGCTCAGGGGAGCATCACCCTTGTTGTGTCCCCTGGCCCCTGTGTGAACAAGATGTCCCAGGATCCTCCAGATTGTTGGCCCCCTGTTTGCCTTGGTTGGCCAGTGAATGCCAGGGCAGTTCCTGTCCCCCCCAGGAACCTTATCATTGACCTCAGACATCCTCAGCGTGATGACAGGAAACTACTTCTGCTTCCTCACTGTTGTAGTTTCATCCCAGGCAGCAATTAAGCAGCCAGCTTCACCTGCTGGGAGAGAAGTGGCTGAACTGGGAGGAGTGCCAGTGCAGTTCCCCCCTGTGACATCCCCCAGTCCCAGACACCCCCATCTCCACAGGGCTGGGGACAATTTCCTGAGACATACCCCAAAAGCGCCAAAATCCCCAGAGTAGGGCTGAAATCCAGTCCAAGGTGAGGTCCTGCAGCTGTTACCCACTGAGCAGCCCCTCCAAGACCCTGAGACCACCCAGGACTCCAGGTGTACTCCCCAGGACTGTCAAGACACTTCAGCGACCCCTCCAGACATCCCAGCCCCCCCCAACAACCCCACCAAGAACCTCCCTGAACTGGGCATATGGCACTGCAGCTGAGTCCAGGGAAGATATGCCCTAAATATTGGATCATCTTGGGAAGAAATGTCAAAACAAAACCAAAAAGAGAGTATTTGATTAAATTTGTCATTTTCGTGTTAGAAG